TTTTGTAAAGGAATTGATATATACCACAGGTTATAAAAAAAGAAAAATTTCAGCAGGCATATTTCTTGACTTTGCAGGTTTTTTAAATTACAGTAATAGCGGTTAATTCATAACAGTCTACTCTTTAAAGAAAAGAAGGTTTATGGAATTTGCCATATAACTTTCTGACTTGAAAATAGCGTTATTCTAATTAATCTAAAGTAAGAAAGGATTGGGCTATGGGATTTGTACGTCCGTGCCATTACGCTGTTGCTAGGAATTGGTTCACAGTTTGATTAGGGACGTAACTCTTGGAGAACTAATTTCAAGGAAATACCTTATTTCTGCAGTAACATGTGCGCAATTGGGGGCACTTACTTTATGACGTTGCCTCTTTTTTCGTTATTTATCCAGTTTTCCTGAACAGAGTACACTTGGATGTGTTAAATTCAGGTGTAATGTCACAGTTAGGTGTTTCTGCTAAAACGGTTTCAGAAACTGTGAAATATACTCAAGATAAAAACACATCTGATGAGGATCTGCCTAAGAAGCCCACTGAAGTCAGTGGGAGGTTGCACTGCCTTCCTAAGCAACTCTGTCAGAGCTAAAACAGTACAGAAATAACCTTTAAAACACTACTACTAGTACTACTACTACTAAAACTATGTATATTATGCAAAATATCTGGGTCATAGAAATAGTGTTGGCAGTTTTTTTACAAATCCGGTGTGGGACTTGCTTAGTAGTTTGATGCTAATATGTGCTTGTAGTTTTACCAAGCTCTGTTTATGTCACAAATTGCCGGGCTGTGGGGGGCTGTGAAGGACGTCTCCAATGGCACAGTATCCTGGCATTCCCACTTCAGAGCTGGCTATTCTGTGCTGCTGCCTTTGCGCTCTGCTTTTTCTCGATATATGTGAAAGTACAAAATTGAGAGAGGGGTCTTTTTGCTTTTACGTGTTGTCGTATGGGTGTAGTGAGTACAGTTCCTACAGAGCTAGAGTACAAGACCAATTTGGTTTGTTCAGCAGTAGTTGACTAAAGAATATTTTTCTTTAACCAATCCTTCAGTTATGTGGCCAAGATGTTAATTAGCTCATTGTTTCTGCTTAATTTTGTGACGGCACTATAATTATATCCCTCAGTTGTGCCATGAAGTAATTGCTGTAGCTTTTCCAAATTTTATGTTGAGATGTGTTATTGGTAAACTTCGAATTTGGCAGAGGTGTTTTGAAAATACTGTAAGGCAGTCAGTAATTTTTTCGTTTCTTTATTTAAAAGCCAGCCATTTGGCAATTTCAAGCTTTGAGACTGTACTGTCAATGTAAATAGAATATTGATTTTATTCCATTTCCTATCTCATTAGAGTCATTGTCATGAGGATGGATTCATGTTGTGTAATTATCTGTTCTTGCTGACAGTTCTCATGTCATTGAGACTGGTGTTTCCAGCTTCCACTTTCTCCGAGCATAAAAATAGCATTCTTCACTGCCATGTTCTTCTTTAGTGTCATAGCTTTTTGCCTGTCCAGCTTTATACATCTTTCTTTCTGAGAGTCGTGTGTGAATTGAGATAGAGAAAACAGGAACGTCCAGCTAACCCGGTTACAGGAAGAGTGAAGACAATGGCTCCTTGGGAACAGTTCCTGGTGCAGTGAGACACTCCTGTTCAGATACCTTATTTTTGTGTCAAAGACTGTAACGAGGAGGAAAAACGTATCATTTACTTGGCCGTACAACATTTCTTTATAGCAGTAACGGGAAGTAATAAAAATTGAACATACTTAATCAGCACTGAGAAACCATAATCACATGGTCCTTTCTGTGTTAGTTTTACTTTCTTGGGCATTTTCAGATAACCTTTCCATTGATTTGTGAAGCTGTTTCTTAATCATTTTCATTGACCCAGCTCAGCAGACAACTAAGTCATCTCTCTTACCCTCTTAAGGAATGACTTCTCAGTGTTATTTCTCTCTTTTTTCTGAGAATCACTTTTTAATTTGCTTTTTGGTCTTTTCAGCTTCATTTTCCTTGTATTCTCAATAATCAGTGAAGGCAAGGCTATGCTTTGTCCAAACCAGTGTTGCAGCAGTCCCACGACAAGTAGCAAATACTTTCAAATTTCAAAAGGTGAACTTCAAAAACCAGCTGTGGATTAAGAACAGCCTTTAGTACTGAATGGCCTACTAGTGGAGTCTGGAAACTGTCAGCCCCCAAATAAATTCTAATTGAATTTAAAAAAGAAAAATAATAAAAATCAACTCAACCCCTTTCCTGTCCTGTCACGAGGGTTCCTCCCTCTGGATTTCTTGCAGCCTTTCCCAGCTTATCAGAGACAGTCCAAAGAGAGACATCACACACATCTGCTGGGTTTTTTTGCAGACAGTATCCTTTAGTATTTGAGGCTTATTGGGGACTCTTTATTGACTTAGAATATCATGAGAGAATTTCAAAGCGAGGGGAAAATAGTTTATGCAGGTAAAATAATTATAATTCTATGCTAATATCTTCCTTTATTTAGTGGAGATATTGAAGATATGCCTCTGGTCTGGAGTCAGTCTTTATTTTTGCTAGAAGGCTATTTTTAAAGCTGACATTTCTGGCTATGTTTTCAGGTAGATAACAAATTCTGACAAAACAATTTTTCTTCAGGTAACTGTAGAGACAAAATATACATCTAGCATTTCTTCACATTCAGAAGATTTACCTCGGAGGCAGCACAGCTTCTCGGATTATTACTTTTCTTTTTGTAGCTGGCAGACTGAAGAATGAAGGGTGAAATTCAGCCTCGTTTAATGCAGTTACAGATATGTCACTGACCTCAACAGGAGCAGGATTTTGCTGCGAGTAAGTGGCTAGTCCGACTCCAAAATTATAAAGCTAGGAATAAAGCATAGCTTCCTGAGTTTTACCAGGAAGATTACTCCTTTCACTACATGTGAACAGAAAAGATACTTTTCATCTGTTTTCATTTTGTATGTTGCCTTCATGCTGTCTTTCTTTCCTCGTTAGGGGTGACTGCTCTTGTAATGAGAGTGAAATTAAATATCTTGTTTTGAAAATGTGGCCTTTAACTTGCTTTGGCTTTAGCATGTAAAATATATCAATTGCTGCTCTAACTCATCTTGGTGTTTGGAAAAATCAATGCTTGGTATGGATTGTATACCAAACTGACTAACAAGAGAAAATCCCTGCTTAGAGCTGTTTCACAGCTTTGTTGTAGAGCTCTTACTGCCTGCATTGGCATCACCCTCTCCTGAGGGTCTCACGAGGAATAAATGTTCATAACAAAATAACACTCAAAAGTCATTGTTTTGTGCTGTGCAAGAGTGATGGTGGGAGGAAGCGGATACATCTATTAGCTCTGTCTGTGGAGGGCAGGGTGAGTTGCAGTACACCTTGGCTGGAGGCCGGGTGATGTGTTTTAGGCTTCCGAAAGCTCTCTGACATGAAGGGCAGTCCCGCACGAGGCAGCTGGGGATGCCTGGAGCCCGTCCCACCGGGGCACGCGGGTGGGCCCGCAGGCAGGCGGCATCGTCAGGTCCTGGCATGCTGTTCCACACTTTCAAATCTCGTGGTGCTAACCTGTCGTGGCTAGGTAATGTGGCACAGGTGGGAGAACCAAACTTGTTTGCCTGAGCACTTGTTGGGGAATGAGTTTCCAAGCCCCAAGTCTCTGCTGTATCCCCAAGTGCTGATCAGTAGTGACTGCTGACACGGGATGACTTTGACTTTGGAGTTTTTTAGGCAGTTCAAGCAAATGAGTATCTGTGTTTACCAAGACGACACCTGGCTGTTAACTTGTGCTTGCAAGTAATTATGCACGGTTGTTTGTCTCCTGCTAGCAGGGATTAAAAATGTGGGCATGATTAGAAGCGTCCTTCCTGGCAAGGAAACCACGGTGCCTGTTATAATCTTGTTAGCTGTATTAGGTGTGCTTTACTTCTCCTGGAGTTTGTTCTTCTAGTCACTCAGTCCCTGGAAAAAGGCGCTTCGTAGATTTTCGTCGTGTACTGGGTTGCATCCACGCTGCCCAGCATCACTTCCCAAGATGCGTTTCTGATGGCGGTGTTGGTGAGGCTGCTTTGGGGGTGGTGGGAGACACGAAGGTTACGGAGCAGTGTCTTCAGAAAGACAGGGATGGGAACAGCCTTCCCCCCAAATGCTGCTGGGGGTTGCGGTGCTGGCAGGAGAAGTCCCCCGGTCCGTGTTGCTCGTGGGCTCCAGCAGGCGCTGCCGTGGGTGCCCCTCTGCTCTGTGCTCCAGGCTGCTCTTTTGAGATCTCTGTCCAGGCTGGGACAAGAGTTATTTATTTATAGATACTATATTTATTGTAGCGTTATATTTATGGGTGGCATTGGGCTTCTGTGGCAAAGCTGGGCACGGGAAACTCGTCTCGAAGAAGCACCCGCTCCACCTTGGCATCTGAGGGGAAAAGGTTTACCCTCTCGTTTCTAGATGTTAAATGCCTGGGCGTTTGGTTTTTTTCTTTTTTGAAGTGGTGATGTTTATCACGAAGCCGGTAGTTCACCTGCAGCCTGTTAAGGGGAGGGAACAGAGGGAGCGCCGAGCGATCGGTCTCTTCGGGAAGGGGCAGCCGCGCACGGGCAGGCCCGTTACTTCCCGAGTTCTTCGGTGAGCACGGGCGCGGGGCAGCGCGCGGTGACCCCGCCACGACGGCGGGCGAGGGACCGGGGTTCTGCGCGGGCGGCGGCG